CGTTACCCATAAGTTCTGAGATTTTATTGTGTGCACTGTCTCAGCTGTTCCAGAAATTGATTTCTGTTGAGTCAGTTCAGGTTCAAGTTTATTTATGTACCGTGTTTACAAGAAATTGCTGAGTCAGCCAACGTTCTGTTCAATTTCTTCTTCTTTTTCGCTCCATGTGAAATCATAAAGCAGAAAAGGAAATACACTCCAACTCAAAGATCAAAATACTCAAGTGATGTGTGGTCAGGCTGACTCGAAGACGGACTTGGTTTGCTTCTGTTTGCTACTGTCTTTATAGTGTCAGTAGCTTACTTAATACCACATTTTTTCGCTTTTGCATACATTTTTTATGTGCTTAGTTTATTTTCATGGGTATAAAATATTAGGTATCGCTATTTCATTGTTCTTGTGGCATTTGGACTGTTAGCTTGTTAGCATTTCTCTCCTCTCATTGCTAATTTTGGATGCATATAGACTCAGGAATGTGATCTTTGTCTCAGGTGGGACGATCCACATGGTGTGCAGGAACAAGGATAAGGCTGAGGAGGCCAGGGCGGACATCGTCAAGGAGACGGGAAACAAAGTAAAGTGTTACTCGCCTCTCTATCCATCAAAACGATGCCACAGATCAATTGCTAGAATGACATTTTCCCAAACGGCTGACTCTGTTGCAGGAGATCTATGTCCACATCCTGGACTTGTCTGAGACAAAGAAGGTGTGGGAGTTTGCCGAGGGCTTCAAGAGGAAGTTCAAGGCTCTCAATGTGCTGGTAATACAACTTCACAATGTCACATCTCTCCTTTTATCCCCACCAAATGATGACTTTATTCATTTCAATCTACTCAGATTAATAACGCAGGTTCTATCATGAGTCAGCGGGATGTGAACGCCGAAGGACTGGAGAAGAGCTTCGCTGTCAACGTCCTCGGTAAGCCAAAGGCCGAGTATGAGGCGCGGGGAAAATGTTGAGTTTGGGATAGTTATGGAACATTCTGTTAACTTCCAGCGGTGTACATTTTGACCAAGAGTCTGATTCCCCTCCTGGAGAAGAGCACAGATCCCAGAGTGGTGAGTTTGACCAGAAGTTTAATGATGCAGATATTTTTTGTAAAAAAAAAAAAAAAAGAAAAAAAGAAAATGCAGCCACATCTGTTTATTTTTATTTATTTATTTTTTTGCTAGAAAAAATTTTCAATACTTGACTCATCACAAAGTGAATAATCAAAAATCCGAATATTAAAGTTTGCAGCTGAGCTCACTTGAACATGAGCTTTTAGCCTTTCTCTCTGTTCCTGTGTGTGCAGATCACAGTGTCGTCGGGTGGGATGCTGGTCCAGAAGCTCAGGATAGGAAACCTCCAGTCTGAGAGAGGCCGCTTTGACGGAACCATGGTCTACGCCCAGCACAAAGTAAGAGCTGAGCGCTAAAACCTTTTGTAAAGAAGGATCTGAAGTTTATGGAATAGAATAGAGATTCATTTTATTGCGCCATGATGGGTAAATTACCTTGCAACAGCAGCACAGAGACAGACGATCAAAGCAAGTAGGTTCACTTAAACATACAATATAAACATATTAAAAAAAAAGGATGAAGAATAAAAATAGTGTGCTGTAAAGGTCAAAATTTAAAAAAAATATTATGCAGTTCTAGTATTCCGGTCCAAGAAGATTTTTAAATCAACCTATTCTACCAAATAGGTTGATTTAAAAATGTTTGAAATGTGCAGTAGAAGATTTACAATAAGTGACAATAAAAACTGTGCAACAGCAAAGATGTGCAGATGCCAACAGGAATGTTACTCAGAATCAGTCCAAACTATGCAAAATCCTGAACAGTTATTGAGATAGTTGGGAGTTTGTTGGTTTTAAAGCCTAACAGCTACTGGAAGGAAGGATCTATGATAAAGCTCCTTTGTGCATCCAGGATGCAGCAGTCTGTCACTGTAGGAGCTCTCTGTTTCAGCAGCAGCTTCATGCAGCCAGGGTGACACTCTCCATCAGTGATGTTATTTCAGCCACAGTCCACCTGCACCTTCCTGATTAGCTTCTCTAAATGCTTCCTCTGATGTAGAGTTAGCCTTTCATTCTTTGTCATTCTTGAGCTTTGGAAACTTCTGACAAGTGTGTGATCAGCGAGGTAAATTGATCTGGGTTGTGGTAACCAGCATGGTTTGTTACTTTAACAAACACGCAAACGTGTTTGTCTTCCAGAGGCAGCAGGTGGTGATGACGGAGCAGCTGGCAAAGACTCACGCTAACATCCACTTCTCCGTCATGCATCCTGGCTGGGTGAACACTCCAGGTTAACTCGCCCACTGAGAACCTTGAGCGTCCATGTTCCACGTGTGCATTGACAACCAATCACCATTGCCATCTGTGTGTGTTCTGTATTTGTATCCGTCTGTTGCAGCAGTGGCCAATGCTATGCCGGACTTCCATCGCTCCATGAAGGATAGCCTCCGGACCCCGGATCAGGGGGCCGACACAGTAGTGTGGCTCGCCATCTCCGAGGCTGCCACCACAAACCCGAGCGGACGCTTCTATCAGGGTATGTTGCCATAGTTACATGTATGCAGGCCTGTTTCTTTAAAGGTCTTTACAAAAGCTTTCAGAAGCACTAAATTAATTCCTGAGGACAAACAAAAAGCTGTTTGAAGGATGAAAAGAGTAGATCAGTCTGGGAAAAGTGTTTGTCGCTTGTGTTGGTGGGATGGTGTGTATAGTGTGTGTAGTTGTGTGCAGGTTTGGCATGAGTCCACTGCAGCTGGAGTGGGCTGGTTTTGGTGCCAGATACTGCCAGAGAGTACAGTGCCTCTATGATCGTGAACAAACGCACCTTCACAATGCCCCCATTGGTTCTCTGAGAGCTTCTGGCCTAACAGGAAACACACTTCAGCTCTGACAAAAACATGGCGCACTCATGTTTCTATAAAATCTGTAATGAGGTCATTATTTCCAGTGGTAGTTGAGTTCCAGTTGAAAGATATTAATTATTTCATACCAAACAACAGCAACACTTAGCTGAAGGGGACAGGACTATTTGGATTTATTTGTATGGCACAAAGTGATACAAATAGCCTTTTTCCACTGGCTCCAAGTGCTGTTTTTCCAACCAATTACCTGCTTTTTTGGTCTCATCATGGCACCAGGTACTACCTTGGTGGATGGTCTATAAAGCCCTGAATGTTTCAAGGTCTTTATAGGAAGCCATTTAGCTCCTTATAGACCATCCAACAAGATTTTACACTCCATCTTTTGACAAACAAGGTGCCAATGCAGTGATTTGAGGATTAGTGTATTTGGATCCATTTTCCAAGATGCTGGCAGCAGCATTTTAGATGAGCGGACACCATTAAAATGATCAAACCTCCCTACTGAAAAAATGTTTTCTATGCTCTTATTTTTTTTAAGAAACTCTTTATGTAGGCAGTGCTTCTTAAGATAATATTTATAGATTTTGTTTCATGGTCTCAGTCTGAGAACAGCTAGGTTGCTTTGCTAACCCTGTGGTTTTAAGGCACTTGTGTATAAACAATTCAGCTTCTTCTCATTTTTCCTTGTCCGGTTCAGTTAGTCGTAGCAAGGACGACAGTTTTAGAACTGGACACAGTGATGATCAGATCAAGAGAAATCAGTCGGAACCACATCAGTAATGATCAGACAGATCCAGACTATGGTTTTTGTCATGATGTTTGTTCTGTACACTAGAACACCAGAGCTTTTTTCCTTCTGTCTTTTATATTCATGAAAGTTAAAATCACTCAGTAGAAGAATGCGGTCATAATTGACATAGTCTTAATTCAGTAAATTAGAATATTATTGAAAAGTTTGTTTCAGTAACTTTCCCAAGTATACCACAAATTTCCACACAGATTGATCAGTCTAAGCCTTCATTCATATTATTATGACATAAAAAAAGGGGGTAGGATAAAATAAGTGGGGGGGTTTTTCTGCCTACATCCTTTTCGGGTATCTGAATAAACATCGTGGTATTTGAAGAAAAAACTAAATGTGATTTTTTTTATATATATATATATATATATATATATATACATACATATAAAACAAACACCTGGCTCGCACATAGAGTCAATGCTGTTTGTGTGTGTGCCCAGACCGAAAGGTGGTGCCCACCCACTTGCCCCTGGCCTGGACCCACAGCTCCCCCCTGGAGGAGCAGAAGCTCGTGGCGCTCCTGGAGGATCTGGCCAAGACGTTTCAGCCCCACTGAGCCAGAACCACCCCAGAGAGAAACAGCAGCACTAACACCATCAGCTCCTATTGGTCGAGGCTGTACATCTACTTTACCCAAAAGCACCTCTGTTGGTATCACTTGATGTGGGATATAAAAATAAGAGATGCTTAAAGTGCTAAGGAGCGTTTTGGAAACCCAGCCTAACAGTAGCAGACTGAATTTAGAAATAACCGAGGGATTGCAGATTGGCAACGCTTTGTAACTATTTGTAAGCTTAGCTTTTTTTTTCCCAGGACTTTATATTTTATAGTGCAGGAATGTTTGACAGTGATGCTGCTTTCACATCTGCAGCTGAGAGCAATGATTGAAGCCCAAACGCACGACTGTAACTGTGACTTTATTAACGCCAACCAGATGGGAATCTGATGTGGCCAAAGTCACGTTTATGTTTTCGCTCACCAGCCTTGGGTTCAGCGTCACGCTGGCGTTTCTGACTCACGCACATGTCCAGTGATGTGCATCTTAACACCCCTGTAAGTAACCCGTGTGTGTGCCGTGTTGTGTTGTGGAGCTACTGTACAGTGCATGGTGAACCCAGGCTGGAGGCGAAGCGTTCTCTCGAACAGCGCAGCATCGCTCGACATGAGCAGCATATTTACAAATCTGTGACTTGATGTCGGCACCTTTGAAAAACCTTTTTACCCTTCCTGTAACTTTCCTGTTAACTCATGCATCAATAAAACAAACTTACAAAACGTTTTGTGTGTTGCTGTTTGATTGGATTTTTCCTAATAATAAAAAAAAAAAACAGCAGTCAAACATATCAAATATCTTTATTAAGTGTGGTTTATACTCTTCAGTGCTCTGCTTTGAGGGCACATGGAGACCCAAGTCAGTTCTGAAATATCAACAAAAGCATTTAAAAATAGTTATTTGCAGATGTACATTAACAACCTTGTTGGAATGGCAAGTATCACAAGTAGCTTCAAGAGAGAATTATGTTACATTTTATGAATTGTGGAGGGGGAAAAAAGAGAAAGGATAAAATGATTCTTGCGCCAGACTAAAGATGATGAGAGAGGTGACTGTTCCGTTATGTGACAGAGGACATAAACTCCTGATAACACGACTAAATCCACTGCTTCCTTCCTGAGACACACGAGCAATCTCAATATCTATTCCTTGAGCTATTTCCGCAAACAGCAAATCTCGGCATCGATCAGTCCTTCAGCATCCCACACATCTGCCAAGGACCCGATAAGTAATGACGGAAAGAGGCTTTTCAGGCTCCAGATTGTACCGTAGATTTGCTAATGATCCTCCATTGTGCTCCATGAGGAGCCTCTTCTGATGCTTCGTGAAATGAGCTAAAAGATCCTTTCACGAGTTCTGAATACAGATTCTCTGCGTGCGTGAAAAGAGCTTAGACACACCAAGAGTCTTTAAGACGTGGAGGATCGTTTTAAGTCTACCTCAGTCAATGCAATGATTAATAATGGATGAAATGACTAATGTGAGGCAGATTAAACTGTAGATCTTAGTTTCTACTTGAAGATGGATCTCTTAGAGTTCTTTCAACTTCACAGCCACAGGTTCACCATTTATAAACTCCACTGACTGTTCTGTGGATGTCTGTGTCTTTATTTATATATATATATATATATATATATTTTTTTTTTTTTTTTAGTAGCACAGTGATGTCTTTATGAAAAGCTCTGATGAACTTGATGCAATTCCCCTTCAGCATGTGGCAGACAGATAAAAGGGTTCAACAGGTGGAAGTCATCAGTTTCCTTTGAAGGGGAGCTGAAGGACTTTGAAGTGAGGTCTTGTTGATAGGTTATTAATAAATAATATCTTACCTGCAGTATGAAACTCTCTTGCCATACTCATTTAATCTTAATCCTGATTAGTTGCTCTCAGAGGCTGAAGATAATGGCTAGTCAGAGAGGAACAAGGACCAGACTTCTACCATCTCTAAACATCTCCAATTTCCTGAATGTCATGTTTACAAAAATTCACTTCTGTATAAGAATATATAACATATAGCTACAGAATTTTATTTCATCCGTCACCGACTCTGGTCAGATACACTGCAACTACTTGTCTGAATACGTTTCAAACAGGAACATCATTGGGGTTTCTACCCCCATGAACCTTTTAATGATGATCCGATCATCAGTTTCTGTATGAATAACTCCCAAAGCAAACATTATGAAGGTTTAAAAAGGTTTGGCATGCAGCCTTCGCAAAAACAAAACTGGTGTTTTTGAGATCTGAGTATTTCAAGATGTTTCATGTCATGAACTCTTGAACAAACTATTAGCTTTAACCGGGACCATCTGATTTATATTAAATGAAGAACCCAGCAGATAAGATACGACCTACTGTAACTTTGAGGGAAAACTTGTCCATTAGTATGCTCAAAGAAGAAGAAAAAAAATAATCTTCTCAATTTTAGACCGCATTAAAATTGGTACCTGCCACCTTACTACAAACAGTGGATACAATAATAAATACATCATGCAAATTAGTTTTAAGACATGTCTCAACCTTGAACTCCCAATATCCACCAATGGGATGAAAAGCATACATATGATCTGCTAGTTTAACATTTTAAAAATAAAAGTAAAAGAACAAATCAAACAAACAAAAAACACTGGAGTGTCAGGATAACTAAATCATAATAACACAAAACACCTAAGCATTCACTGATCAAGTTTCTGCTGTCACTTTATTAACAAAACCATCCCATCCATGTTCACATGAAACAGCTGACAGGATTTGATAACGTGGCTCATCTTTACACCGAGTCTGCATGATGCGCTTTGGAAGTGAGGGAGGAATCGGTTTTAACACGGGAATCAAGATGTCATATGGGCACAGAAAACAGAACCTGCAGAGATTACACATATTCTATTTTACTGCAAATGTAAATATACACTAATGATCCCAAAAATTGGAATACGAATCCACTCCAGCAGAATGTTTCTCATCGTCTTCCACTTACAAATAAGGCAAGCTTTAGTCTAAGATTAGATGATTCCAGCTGCTATTCACAGGAAAGCTGCACTCCTGCATCCACACGTACAAATGGGGGAAAAAAAACAAAACAAAAACAAAACAAAGATTGACTTGTGCAATTCAGTGCAAAGAGACATTTCTGATGCACAAATGTGTGTGAAGAGGGAACAACTGAGGAGGGATGGTGAAAATGAACAGTCGTACGAGCTGATGAAAATGAACAGTCGTACGAGCTGAAGAACTGCTCAGAAGGCTTTTAGTGGGTCTTCTTTATTTTTAAGGCCTTTACAGGAATCCAGATGTGACCAGGAACAAGTCAACATCTCAGCAGCTGGGGCTACATTTAGTCTGGACTACTCATCCAGAACCTCAGTGTGCCGTTTGTCAAATTCACCTCCGCCTGTGAGAAAAATTTACATCCTAAACTGAAAAATCATGATCTCTGAAGGTAATCGCACAAGCTTGAGCGCAGACCTGCAACCCGATGCTTATACTGACTTCGCTGGTTACTACAGAAACCAATCATCAACCTCCCAAAAGGTAGAGAGTGGGTTAGCTGCTGCCTAGCAAACGTCTGACAACTACATCACAGACGATCCTCACCCCATCAGGAGGCCATTTTAGTAACTTTCTTCAGATTAAAGTGTAGGAACCGTTACGACTGACATCATCCAAGCCCAACCGGTGATGACTTACTGATGGGAAAAGCTCCTGAGATAGTGACTTAAGGCCAGCTAGTGAAAAAGAAATCAGAAAACGTTTTAAGCATCCACTACACGCAGAAAGGAGAAGAATTTACAGGTGAATATTTCTTTAAAGTAGCCTGGGATTAAGCAGGTAGCAGGAGCTCATATTTACAGCTATGGCAGGTCGGCAATGGTGAACTAGCGTTACGGTGCAAACATAAAAAAAAAAAAAAAAAGCATCGGATATATTCAGTGTAAACACTAATAGCAATACCATTCCTCCCCCAGGAGAGAACAGAACACACATGCACACAAACAAACACACACACACACACACACACACACACACACACACATCTTTCATTGTGCTTAGGGTTCAGTTTGAGATCAGAGCAACAGTCTAAATCAGTCAGACTGACAGGTAGCAAAATATGTTACAAGAAGACGAAGAGATGTGGAGGGGCTCACACGCGTTCACCCAGAGCGGGTCTGGCTGGAGCGGCGGACCCCAGGCGCGAAGGCAAGGTGGGCTGTACAGAGGGGTTTCCATGACACTGGGAGAGTGGGGGAGGGCTGGAGCCAGGCGAGGGTACCATGTAGAGGGCTGGGCCAATCAGCGAGGGGAAAAACCTGTTGCTAAGCTACTGCCAACCACCTGTGTCATGTCCCAGATCTGTGGAGATGGACATCATCATTAGCGTCAGGAAAGCATAAAGCAAGACATGATCATTGATTGGATTCATTACTTAGGCAATAATCCCAATTAAACAGAAAAACCATGAATGATAAAACTACACTGCGTGCACAATTATTCAGCAACTGAGCATTTTGGCCTGATTATCACTGTTTGGCATATTTTTCAACTCCAAGCTGGATAAACTTGAATAGTTGATGGATTTAAATGTAGCAGCTGATGTGTGTCTGTGTAATGAGGGAGGGTGTGGCCTCAACTTGTTTCAAGATGTGCAGAATTATTATCATTTTATAGATCCAGACCACACTGGCCTGGAAGTGGAAGAGTAATTATTGAGTCTAGTTTTATTTCTTGGGAGTGTTTGCAGGTAAACTGAAGCTCAGTTAACCTAAATATTTTCATTACAAGTTTAATAATGGGTGCCTAAATCCCTAGGCTTAGATGTAGAAGGACAATTTTCTGCAATAACAAAATTTAGAATGTAAAAGTGATCCAAATAGAACTTTTGTTACATTTTAAAGGTAAGTTATTTCTCCTCCATTAGCACATTGAGCAGCGCATATATGAGCATGATTGACAGCGCTAAGATACTCCTCCTGGCTCTGACTGGTTGTTTTTAACCTGAAGCTGTGCAAGTATCAGGGAGGGGATGGAAGAGCACAGTCTTTTCACAGATGATCTGTCTGTTATTAAACTGTGATGACATAGAGACCATTTTAACAAATATATTTAAAAAAAAATTCTTTATAAAAAGTTACGTACTGCACCTTTAAGAAGGTGAGTTCATAATTTAGTATAATTTCCATATTGGTAAAGAGATTACTTAATTCTAACCTGTGTAAACTCTTAAATTCTCATTTCTAAATCTAACTTTCTAAAGCTTGGGATGAGTTTTAGTTTTAGTTTTAGCTTCAGCGTCGGCTCAAAGCCCCTCTGTTCCAAACAGAACCAGCACACGCATGAATCATCTGGTATCAAAGCTCTGTTGTTGACCTTAACAATGCGGTCGCTTCCACAAGTGACCATCAGGCCTCTGGATGGGTCCATGTCCATGTGGGCGATGTTGTGTTTCCCCTCGTGGAACGTGGCCAGTGGTGTTCGGCTGCACACACACACGCGCACACACGCACACGATGACAGCGTTTTTAATCGCGGCCACACAGAATGAAAACACAAACACATTTAGAGAAGGCCTAGGCTTACTCTTCTTCTTTGATGGTGTCGAAGCAGGCGTCGCACACTCGCACCGGGAACTCAAAGCCCATGATCGGGAAGGTGGAGCGTTTAGAGCTGCATTTCCCACACACAGCCTTCCCACACTTCCTGCAGTGGTGCTGCACACAACACACACACACACTCAACAAACACATAGGCATCAGCAGGATTTACGACTGCGACTGGAGCCTCCCGTCCCCTGTGTGACACTGTGGTTGGTACCTGTCTGAGTCCCAAGGTCTTTGTGTCCCACATCTGCTTGATGTTCCAGAAGAAAGGCTGCTCACACTTCTGACAGGAGTCACTGTCTAACCACTGAGGTGCCTGCGCAGACACGTGCACAATAAGTCTAAGCATTAAACACAAACAACTAACCATAAGAACATAAAAGGAAAGAAAAAAAAAAAAAACATTTCCTCAAACCATGAAAACGATAACTGTCAGTGCTGCAACGGTGATGCAAACCTCCTCTCTCTGTGTGTCCATGTTCCACACTGCAATGCCTCCATCGGCTGAGCACGACAGCAGCTGCCTTGTGAACTGGAGATAACGCAGCGCCTGCACACGCTCACTGAGGGAGACGGAGGCTTGGATTATTTTCTACCGCTAATTCACATCATTTCAAGGTTTTAAAGTAGGGCGTACAGCGGCTCGCAAAAATATTGAGTCAGATTTTGTCTAAATACAGACACAAACTTCATATGTGTTTTGGTGGGATGTTATGTGAGAGGCCAAAGCAAAGCAGTGGAAGGTAAAGCATACATAGCTGCAAAAGTAAAATAAATAAAACAGAGATTTACACATAATTGCTCTTCAAGGATAAAAAGGTTGCTTTATAAATAAAGCATGTACTCACTTTCAAGAACTGAAAATCACGGTATACAAATGTTGAAAGCAATGTTATTCTGCTTCTATTTCTGTATTCAACTACTTTGTGTTAGTCAATTTCATAAAATCCCAAGAAAATTGTTGTTTGTGGGTTTCCAAAGAAACAAACATTCTCATATCCCCCACCTTGATGGATGAGTCATCATAAATTATGCGCTTGTAAAAGCATAGACACATCCAATATCCCTACTAGCTGATAGTTGGCAGACAGTGTGATTAATGGATTACTGCTCATTTCACACAAAAACCTGAAACACACATGCTTTATGAAACCTTAAAATGACACATTATGCAAATCAACTCGACGGTTAAAAATAGCCTTGTTTATCATGTGAAGAATTTACTGACATCTAGTGGTAACATTTCAGAATGCAAGGTCATGAACGAAGCGACAGAAAAAGGACAAAAATCCAAACCAATCAAATTCATTTGCAGATAAAAACATGTTTCTGCAGAAATTACTCATCTAACTTTTATCTTTGACCATACTATCTGCAAATCCTGCCACATTCTGTCATCAGTGCTGACAGGCTTTGTTTGATAATGTCTGTAACAGACAGGCAGGCAGGGAGGTGATGAAATATTTATGAGGACTGAGATGTAAAAACTAAAATAAGTCAGTGCCTGGAGACAACAGTTACCGACTCCAAGGGGATTCGCCTTTGAAGAAGATGGTTCGGATATTAGTGTTACAGACTGTAGTCATAAAACTTGATCAAAGAAAAGATGAAATCAGAGAAGTAAAGGTGATTTTTTTTTTTACAGTCTTGATCACAGACCAGCATTTCTATGGCCACCCTTTGCAGATCCAAAGAAAATTCAGTCCTAATGAACTTGTGCCGACTACAGAGGAACTTACTGATGTCCCTGCAGGAGAAGTGTCCGTCCTTTGCGGCCCCCGATGTCCCACATGATGATGCTGTGGTCTGAGGCCCCTGAAAAAAGCAGCCGCTGGACAGGGTCCCACCACAAGGTTCCTATACTACCTGCAAAACGTTAACAACTCATGTTAGATGGCTTCAATTGGTTTCCAGAAGCTTATTCAGGAAAAGATTTATGATCTGACCCGCTGGCACCACCCAGTGTCCACTGGGAGAACTGCAAGCAGCTCCAATCAAAGCGAAGGACCGCAAACTTTACATGTCGGAGCATTTTTGCTCGCAGTCCAGCCAAAAATTAGACATTACTGGTACTTTGCAATTATTTCATGAAAAATATGGAAAAACTGCTAAAATATTAATTTGCTTTTGCCCCTATATTTAACAACATTAGTTGGTTCTTAATTATTTTTAGTCAAAGCAATTGTGGAACGTCCAAAGAGCCACTTTGTGGCTCTGGAGCTGCGGGTTGGAAATTAATAATCGTAGAAAATGATCACTGCTGCAAGCCAAAATCTGGCCATTCATAAATAGTTCATCAGAGATGATCAAGACTCTTGAAGCAGTCATATGATGGGAAGCAGCCTGTGGCTGGTGGTCTGATTTGTATGGCAGGAAGGATCCTGTGATCCAGCTCCTTTTCAAAGCATCACTGCATAGTGCCTTGGGTAATGTTTCGGTGTTAGAGGAAGCTGGGGAAATTGCTTAATATGAGGGGAGTTGAAGTAAGTTGTCAGCTGTACACAATAAAACAAGAAAGCAGTACAAATGTCTTCGAGGTGGAGTTTTTTGGCAGTCTTACCGGTTGTTTCATATTTTTAGTCCATAATCAGTCCCTCCAGGATGTTGCGATGTTTTTATTGTGATTGATGCAACCTAAAATTATGCATTTTGCAGCACCTTTTTCTTTTTTTTTTTTTAAAGTTGCGTTCAAAGTTGCAAATTTTTTAAGCTTTATTTTTGCTGCACTTTTCCTTCTCTTTTTCTCATCAAGTTCTAATCCCTCCTTACCTGAGAAGACCCTGCATCATCATCCTGCTGCTGGCCTCTGCTCTAATGTCTCCTCCCTGACTCTCTGCTCTTTCTATTGTGACAATAAGGATTAATTTTAAATATGACAAACGCAGCAGTGGGTACAACTTCTCAACAGAAATTAAAGAGGACTGGGTTTAACCCTGGCGTTAACCGAATAGCAAGGAATGTTAAGTAGGCAACAACATTAATATTCTTGTCAACAAGCTCAATATGATACGCTGACATCGATTAACTAATCATCATTTGGGTAACATTATCCGCATGAAACGGCTGAAAGAGGACACAAATACAGAAACCTGTCGGCTACGCCCATGATTGTGTACACAGTATAAGCAAGTCCTTACAAAACAAAAGCATTCTGATTGGCCGGTAAGCAGAAGATATAGAAAACATTAAGGTGGTTGGCCAGATTTGCTGTAAAGTTGTGATGACTTCTGAAGATTGCAAGTCCTCACAAAGTTAGCGAATGATGACTGAATTTGCATTAATAGCATTAATAGCTGTGATCACAACTTCCTGGAGGGACTGCATAATCAACATTTAACGGGTCAACATGACTAATTTTAACTTCTACAGAAATGGACCACCATGAAAACAATAAAAAATAAAAAAATTTAAAAAAAAGTTTCAGGGAGACAGGTTTAACCTTTCCATATATTTTGCCAGCCTCATTTTTCCTAAATATTTGTTGCAGAGTGTCTGTACAGCTTGAGCTCTGATCTCGGCTCATTAAAATAAATCAGCAGCTCTCCAAATTATCAGAGACATCAAAGCACATGTCTGGATCAGAAGGAGGGACGGAGGTTTAACGCTGGGGTAGTTCCATGTCATCGGAGCGCATGGCAACATGAGAGTCCATCTGAGTGAAGAGCGGGCAATATGGCTGTGGTAAGAATCAGTTTTCTGACAATATTAGGCTTTCATCTGGTCACATGAGTCAGGCCTCCGCTTGCTTTTTAACAAGCTCATGTTCGGTCCAAGCCTGGCGCAGAACTCTTGGAAGTGTCGGTTTCACACAGCGAAGCATTCTGGTCACCATTTTTTTTTTTTTTTCCCCCCCCATTTGTCACAAGAACCCAGAACAAAATCTCATCTGAGTCATGCGTTTGTTCTTTGTTATGCCCATTTATCTGGATGAGGGACAATTTTCCACAGTGACAACAGTCCCCATCTGAAGAGCTGGAATGGGTCACTGAGCGGCTTGATGAGCATGAGAACAGCACGGTTGCCAGATCGGAGCTGAAAACAAGCTGCTGTGGGAGTTTGCAGAGCAGCACGTCTGATGGTATTTTCCATCATTCCCATCCAAAACGGAATCTGTACTTGAGTGGGTGGGGGTGCTTCTTGTTCCCCATTAAGATTTGGCAGCTCGGTTTAATGTATGCAGACTCCATTCCTAATGGAAGGCTGCAAAAGTTTTGCCAAAGTTGGGTGAGTGGAATAGATTTGTCTTTCTTTCCTCTTGCTGCGGCTTTTCCAACTTTTACACGTCATCCCCACCAACTTCTTGCTTTTCGTTCCTGATCATGGACACACACTGCAGCTGGATTATTAAATTTGCCTTTTTTATATTTAATAAATCAACTAGATTCATAAATCCAACTACATTAGTTGGATTATTGAATCTGTGTCTCACTTCCTTAATCTTTCCAAGCAGCTCAGCTTAGTCTTTAAATAACCTCATTAGGAACGGCCCATTGTTCAGCATTTTCCTTGATTCAAGTCACAACGAGATGCAAAAAAAAACAACAAAATCTCTATGCTATGAACCACAAGTCAGGAGTAAATTAAAATAAATAATTCAGGGTTTGCTACACAGTTAATTTCTAAATACGAGACTTTCTAGCTTCCACTTTTTGAAAAATTCTCGTAATTTTTAAATACAAGCATTCAATTACAATTCAATGTTTCTACAGAAGCCAAACTTTATGAGGCGATGTGAGTTTTCCAAAGTTGCCCTTGAGGTTTTCAAAAACTACTGACTGTTACTGTATTCAGCCCCTTTTTTTTTTGTTTTTTGTTTTTAGAAACACATTTTTGTATGCATTAAAATAAAACGGGGACAAAGCTTGTGAAACATGTTTTTTTTTTAAATATTAAAAAAAGGATTTAAGATTAGAATAAACTGCACCTTTACTGTGATGCATTATAAACACAAATAATAGAGTATTATGAAGTTGTAAATAACAATAATAGGCCTACATGTAAATTATTTCAGATGATTAGTCTTTTTTTTAACTCTGGAATGATTATACATGTTCTGCAGTTTTAAGTCACTGATTTCTTTCAGGTTCTGAGAAAACTGTGGCTGGATATTTGCCCAGTCAGAAGAGTTAAATTGAACTGGACCATTACCAGCTACAAAGCACAGAGTTTGGAAATGGAGCTGAGGTCAAACCATTTCGCCGCTTTGTCTGCTCTGTCCACTGTGAAACACAGACAGGTCTTCCAGTCTGTGTTTCAACTACAAAGTTGAAGTAGTTAGAGATATGTTCTTTTTCTTTTTATTAGTCCTCCCACACCCTGCATACCTCTGTGCAATGTAGCAGTACCGAGAGATGTTCACAAGTCATTTTTTCCAAGTCTAAGTTAACTGAAGTTTTTAAACACTGAAATAAACATTTTCTCATCAGAGCTATTACATCTAGGCTATGAACATGTCTTTCAATCTTTGAATATTTGAAAACAATTACATCATTTTACATTTAATTTGAAATCCAGAGACGCAGCTAAAAGCTGATTTGTATTACAATTTTTTTAATGTATAAAAAAAAAAAAAATCACTATTTCAACTACGGGGGAAGCTGTTTCAAAGCTCAATGATTCACCTTTAATAAACCTGTCTTTTTACCTTCGTGGCCTTTCAGAGTCGTGATGGTGGAGTACGTCTGCTTCTCCAATTTCAGCAAAGTGATCTGTCCGGAGTAATCACCGATGAAGGCGTGCTGCGTCTCGTGATCGTATCTGAGCGAGGGAGTCAGGGTCTGAACAAGCTCCACGTTTTATTACGGCTTACGCATCGCACAGAGAGCGTGTGACGGAAGGATACTGTAGGCAGGAGGCCCAGGAGGTGAAGTAGTGTCTCCCCAGCATGCTGCCGCTCTGGGTGCACATCCAGCTGACGCTCTTGTCATGGCCTGTGCTCACCACCCACTCGCTCTCCAAGGAGAAGACCATACCCGACACACGGTTCTGGTGGGCTACAGGATAACAACGAACACCAACACATAAGTACTAAACAGGCAAATGACATTAGAGTTCAATTCAATAAAAAAAAAAAAAAAAACTGTTTAAATCCCAGAGGGAAAATAAATGCTGTAACTGGTATTACATGATTTTCTTCAAAGAACGGTTATGTGCAGAAAAATCTCCTGTAGCAGTGTTATGTCAAAACTTTGTTTAATTTCAATCAATCAAGCAAACAATCAATTTTAGCTTTAAAACTCCCTTCATGATGGAGGCAGCTCAATGGAAACGCATAATAAAGGGTATTTCTGAACCAGGGTTTGAACCATCCAGGGTCACAGTCTGCAGGTGCAAATACCAGAGTTGTGAAGTAAACTGAAACTGGTGGGATCCTCCCTTTTTCTCCCATCTCTGTAAGAGGGCTGGTGGATAATAAAAGCGATGTACCTTCATCTTTTCTTCACTTCCCTGGGCTAGCCAGGGGAGTCATTGCTATATTCTTTGCTTAATTTCTTAATAAAATAAAAATCTAAATGCATTTTGATTCATTCTTGATTGACTCAGTGTTTCACCTTATGTAAGACTTATTTATTTCCTTCACAGCAGTCTGTATCGTGTTGCTGTGCTCATGTCTCCTGACTATTTGGTATGTTCATTGTTCTAGATCTTTTCTATTCCCTTCAAGTTGAACCCTGTCTGCCAGACTTGCGTATTGACCAACACCAAAGTCAGGTAATAATGTAGAACATTTATTAGAACACACCCAGCTGTATATTATGTAACCAGACTCTTCCATCTAAATTTAACTAAGATGGCTCTCTACTACAACGCCTACATTAGCTCTCGCCTTTGCAAAAAGATAAAGATTAATTGGACAGGACTTACATTCACCACATAAAACGGATGCTTTTGCTATACAGCAAACTTTGCTGTGCCAGTTCTTCAAAAACGGTTAAGAAGAAGTGGCCCATATTCTGTTCTCGTTGCTGATAACAGACTATAATGTTTGTTTTCTAGTCCAAGAGAATGGAAAAGAAACAACTAAATTTTTGCTTACGCCTTTTTTTAAAACCAAGAGATTTACAGATGCCGTTACTACAAAAGTTTACTTTTATTACAACTCTGCATGCTTAGTTTATTGTAGAAAAAGTTACATTTCACAAACCGATTAAATAACCCTCATTTCAACCATTTCATATTATTTCAATGTTTTATAGGAATAAAATTTATGTTCAAGAACATGGATATTTAAAATTAAGACCCACATAAATTCTAATAAACAAGCAAGTGAACCCAGTTGAGTCTAAATGTATCATCTTAGAAATTATGATTAAGCACTTTAATCAAACAAATTAAATCCAGATGTACCAACTTAAGTTGAAGTTTCATGAAACCATCAGTTGTTGCCCAGTGCTTGGAAATTGGATTTATCCAGAGGTGAAAACTTCAGAACAATTTGCAGCTAAATATTGAAAGCGTTGTTTTCAAGCCAAAACTCTGCAAATGTGCACTTTTTGAGAGCAAGTGGGAGCTAATGTCAAATTTTTAACTGTAATTACCACAAGGAACATAAAGTGTAACATGCTGTTTATCTTTTTAAACACACCATTACACTTCATCAGCAAAGCAAAGCAAAGAAGGGAGTTGTCTCTACTTCCTCAAAGTTTCCTAGATTAATAATTAGCTCCTACATCTGTGAGTTGGTGCTTCTATTACCTGCATGAGTTATTTTTTCAAAGTGGTTGTCCAGATATCCAGCAAAGACACATAGGCAGGACATTTAATCTCCAAACTTGTCTGATTTTAGTCTAAAATCTGTTGGTGGATCTAAAAGAGCCTCTTTTTTTCCCCCACTGAATTAAAATGACAGCTTGTCGATACAAAGCCACCAGATATGTGTTCAAATATCAGTAGGCACAGTCACATCCCGCATCTTATCTAATCTCACTGTGAGTCATGTGGATTTTGCTGCTTGGACTTGTCGGAAGTTGTGACAAGTGGAGAGACATTTACTCTCCAAAGAACAGCCTGACCTTCAGACTGGGATTTCTAAATAAATCAGCTCACAGTGATCTTGAAAAGAAACTGGAATTAATGATGAGAAAGTGTTTGGTTTATAATTTCTTCACAGATTAGGGTAATATTTATTCCCCAAATGTCAACAGAAAGCAGCACTTTTACATTCAATTATGTTGTATTACTGGAATTTTACTTGGAGATTTCAATAAGTAAAAACATGTCAGTAACGTCAACCCATTTAACCTTCATGCAAAGAGTACGAGAACGCCTTCAGCGTGGAAAGAGCCACTTCTGTCAGGCAGAGAAAATATGTTTAATCTGGAGAACTTTAAAACGACTTCAAATGACACATTTTAGGGCAGAAGATTCAACCACTTCACACAACAAAGCCATCCCTGAACATACCTTCTACGTGTTTTCCAGACTTCTGAGAAAAAATAATTCAATTAGTTTTATCTATTTCCAATCTAAAAAAATACAAAAAAACTGTAATTGTGTGGAAACTAAATGAGAACCATCCACCACTCTTGTGTCAGTGAGAATCTTAAAACTTACACAATTTAAGACTCTTAGGTTTACTGGATAAATGTTTTCAAATTAAAGGAGGAATTTCTGATATTTTATGGTACTGAAACTCCAACATGCTGCCACCATAAGTGGTGAAATTAATCTGATATGTAGAATAATCACACAACCGCCAATTTAAATACCCTGGCTTCATTTTGTTTAACTTCTCAATTAGGTTCATTGACATCTCTTTTTTATTTTCTTCAATAACAATGAGCCTAACTTTCTTTTTTCTGTCCTCACCTGGGTATGTTTTAACGTGGTTCATTTTGTTGAAATCTTCAGAGATGAGAAATTCCTACAAGAACACGCAAAAAGGAATAAAAAACTATCACATCAAATAAACATTGAAACAAAGATTTAAATTTAAAGATCATTGTTCTCCAATGTCACAAGTAGAGTTTGAGCTCACTCACCACAACTGCTCCATTGTCCTGACCAATGAAGATGCGTCTGCTGTCATGGTGGTATGACATGCAAGAGCAAGGCGCTGCGGGGATAAAGAAGCAGACATGAGCATCGAGGAGGGAAGTAGCTGCAGCGGAGTTTTGCTTCCACGTGCATTCGTAAGCCTAATCCGTTGTTTCTCTCAATAAAATGAAGGCCGTACTTACAGGAGACTGTGTGGTAGATGCTTGGCCAGTACTGACCACTGTCCCTTTTCAGCCACACTCGGATGGTCCTGAAGGTAAAATGTGCAGAAAGAGATCAGTCTAAACCAATCTGCTGACACCCAAGACAAAACATCCACAGCAAGAATAGAAAAACTTAAGACTGAAACCCCCAGAGTCAATACGTTTTACTGCAATTACAGCAATGTGTCTTTCTGAGAATGCTTAGCTTTGCTAATCTACAGCTGAAAATAGTTCATCCTTTATCTGAAGAATATCTGGGTACATCAGTTTGCTGAGGCATTCTTCTCACAGATTCGCTGTTGGCGTTATGTCTGGACTTTGGCTGGGCCATTCTAACAGATGAGTGCACATTGATCTGAACCGTTCAATTGGACTTCTGGTTGCATTTTTAGGTCAGTGAATCTCTACCCCAGTTTCAAGTCTCCAGCAACCAGATTTTTTATTTTTTGGGGTTTTTTTTTTTTTTTTGATTATACTGTAGTTAGGTCCATCCTGACAAGTTTCTCTGCCACTGCTGAAGTATTCCCACAGCATGATGATGCCACTACTCTGTCATAGTGCTGTCTTGTCAACAGAATCTAACACATGAGCTGTAGATCTCTGCAGCTCCTCCAGAGTTACCACTCTCCTCTGATTAATTTTCCAAATAAAGGGACAACCATACACTGAAGTTTGGTTAAAAATTAAACCATGGAGACTAAAAGTCAGTTTTGTTCAAGTGTATAAAAAATACCACTGCAATTATAGACTGGTGAGCCAATAAAAATCAGAATCCATACGTATTTTCTTTGAAAACTTCTAGCTTCCTCTAAGAGAACAAAAACAACTAAAGTCAGTAAAGTTGTTGTCTTATCTAAAGCGGCAGCAGTCAAAACCAATTTCATCAAGTAACCTGTCACACAGCCGAGCCACGACTTCTCCTTTTCTTTCTTACATCAAGTGGGTTTGATGTGTGTCGGAAATGGTTTCAGTTTTGTTCCACTGACCCTGAAAGGAGAGGGTATTTGCTTCCTTTACTGTTTGTAATAAAGTGTGACAGCTTCTCAGAATAATCCACTGAAAAATGACGAACCTACCCTGGTAAGATTATTTAGGTCGGGTCAAAGCGAGACCAAGGGGTGCGTTTTTTTTTGTTACCGTGATGCGTTCAGGTGCTGATCAGGAGAGTGTGACGTTCAGGAGGCAGAGTCCACTCTCAATATGACAATACTGAGCTGTAAATGTTGTGACTATCAACTAGTATTGCAAATATGCAATGTGATGTCTATCAGTTTGTTTACCACAACATAATTTTACTGCACATTTTTATGCAAAACAGTTGGTCCCCAAAGCTCTCTAAATCATAAAAACTAGATCCAGAAGATAGTTTCGAGGGTTTATTTTTACACCCAGCTACCCAAATGTCACTATCTTTGTCCAAACTGTTTTAAAAGCGACGAACACAAACAGGTTGCTATTTAGCGCTAAAGCTAAACTGAGGATAAGCGTTAGCTCTTTATCCAATTCCCAAACAAAAGCTGTTTCAGTGAGGGTGAATAATGCTGCCTTCTCCGTTTCAGACCCCTCCTTTCACCAAGATATCAATTTAATAACCAGTAAATAGACCTAGCTAGCTCTTGTTAGCTCGACTCCTCGGACTCACCTGTCCTCGCTGACCGTGATCACTCCATCCTCCTTCGGGATTAAAACGGCCGCGTTAACCGCGTCCGAGTGTCCCTCGATCTTGTTCAGGAGGACTGGTCTAGCGGTCTGGGGCCTCGAATGAATTTCTGCAGCCATGGTTTCACCTACCTAGCAAGCACTATTTTCCTTCAGAGGATTTTTCCTTCTCGCTCGCCAGCAGAGGAGGATCAGCTGACACCCAGAGCCCCTGTCAGGATTACCGTAAAGACTGCTAGAGAGCGCAATCGGGATTATCGTAATTACCCCGAGAAAGTTACAAACGGATTCAAATTGTAGTCAAAAAAGATATAGAGCGTAGATTAAATCAGCTAGTTTTTAACCATAGCTGCCAGACTTTCCAGTAAAAGCACTCTAACACTGTCTTACTTACCAACATAACATGTTGTGGTCAGTTGTTTTATTTGCTATTTTGTTGTAAATTGTCACATACTGAAGTATTACCCTGCAAGAGTATTGCACATACTTCCCCTTTCTAACCTCATTTTCAGGGCAGGTTTCATTTGTTGTCTATGTATGTTCACACACTCATTGTTAATTTTGTAAGATAATATAAGAAAGTCAGTTAATGTTATTAATGTATCCTTTGAAAACGCTAGAATTTGCAGACTATACTTTTTCTCTAATTATATTATTACAAAGAAATAAAAAAATAAAATAAAAAAAACTTATGATCAAACTATCAAATCTCTGTCAGTAGATTAATGCTAAATGGATCTATGTTTGAGTACACTCTTTACCAGAAACTGAGCATGGGCAACAAAATATGGTACATTTGAAAGTTTCTTGCCAGAACTACCACTTTGGTTGTTGTCAGACTTTACTAGAAGAATTTATATGTTCAGTGTTTTGCAGGAAAAACTCACTCCTTTAATCTATTCTCACATATTGTTACATTACAAGCTCAACCTTCAACATTTAAGTTTTTTTGTGATAAACACAAAGCAGAGCATAAATGCATAATGGAAAGAATCAATGTATGCAGGTTTTTTTAACTTTTTGTTTAGCCAATCTTAAAAGTGTGGTGTGCATTTGTATTTTCACACCAGTCTGTTGGTATTCAGGCTGTTTCAGGTTGCCTTACCTATAGGTCAGCAATCTTTTGAAACCTGGAGCAGGTTCCTCCCACCAGGACTGATCTGTATTTAGCTCTATCCTTCTTCCCATCAGCTTCTCTGCTGCTGCCTCCAAGTTTCATCCTCAAAACAGTTAATTCAGGATAATTTGCTAGTTTTCCACTTCATGTTTCGCACACATTTATATTAACACTGTTGAATTTTATTTACCAATTCTGAGACTTCTGAAGAAAGTTGACTGCACTTAATTTACAGGTGTTAAAGGGGACCAAATATAAATGGTAAACTTCAGATTTTTATTTGTAAAAATTGCTTGAAACCATCAATTCTCTTCCTTTTACATCAGATTGTACTACTTCAAGTGTGTCTATCGTACTGAAAGAGTCAGAGTTTACACTGTGAATACTTTCTCAGTGAATCAGAGATGCTATGCTTCTCCGTTTGAGAAGCAGAGTTTTCTTTTATGCTTCTCCAACAAGAGTTTCTCTTATTCAATGTGCTTTGGTTCAGTACAGATGTGATCGATTCCCAATTTGATCCTCCAACTATTTTTGCATAAATTAACACCATCGGTCAACAGTCAAGAAAAATAATCATTATGCCCTTTTCCAACAAAAATGTTTTACCACAATAACAGCAAGGCACAAATTAGTGACGTTATAAATTTATGTAGTTTAATTTTGTTTCCACATGTGAAAGAACAGACCTTCTCCGTAAGGAGAAAACAACTTTTAATGTAGGCAATAATGCACTCTAAGTCTTGATGGCATCACCATAACGGAAGAGGGAAACGGGCAAACCGGAGTTACATGACTCGAGATAGAAAAGTTTAAACTGAAACAGAGACACCATAAATAAAAAGATCATCATACTCCAGAGTTAAGAAATTACACATGTGACATTTAAAGTCTTTTAAAAAAAAGTGATAAAGCCAAAAAAAGTACACCAAAAAATTAAAACAGCAGGAAAACTTAGTCTGCAAAAACATGTTGGAAGGCATGTTATGCGTTGCAGAAAAATCAACATAAAAAGCAATATTTAAGACAAATATATGTCCACATTGTTCATAAGTCAACAGCCACAGCACATCTGTGTGCTTGTGTGTTCATGCATGACAGTGTGTAAGCATATCAGGTGCTGCTAGATGAGCCAACAGGAACTGAAGGTGAGCTTCATGGTTGGTTGATCTGACCCATAAACAGGATGGTCCCTGCAAACAGAAATAAAGACGGTTCACAAATATCAGATACTGCTAATGCAAATCTAAAATGCACTCATCTATGTTTTGCGAATAAAACTGCATACCTGTTGGGTTATGTCTGATGAGGAACAGAAAAGGTCTGTCCACAGTCACCCAAGGGGGAGAGGAGCGAGCCATCAAGATAGCAGCTAAACACACACCACAACAACTCGGATTAGTGGGGCGTATAAACAAATACTGGGGATAAACCACGCAGATTTATGTCCGATCAGGAAAAAAAAAAACAATTAGGTATACTTACTGGTGGTAGATGCTGCCTTCGTCCCTTCTTCATTTACAATGATTTTGGATTTCTGCAGAGCCTTGGAGACGTACACCGGCTCGGTACCTGGGAGAACAGCAGCAGTTCATCTTACCTCAAAATAATGACTTCCTGTACGACAGTTTTTACTTCAAGCCACAAGATGGCAGTAGCGCAAAAGTTTCAATCCAATTCTTTTTGAAAAAAAAAAAAAAAAGAAAAAAAAATCTATATAGCACCACGTGGTGGCACTACAACCTTTTATTCAAAGTTGCATTTCCTGAGGCCCACCCTGATTCAGTTTTTACACTGAGCGGTGAGACTATTTCAACTTCTTACTGGCTCTCAGCAGTGATTAGGCAACATTTCTCCTCAGGTTTTTACACTTACTCATACCTAAATCAACCTGCTTCAAACACATTCATCCAACTAGTGTGTATGCATCACCGTCGGGTTTTCACTCACTGAGGTGTGTGAAGTCGGCCGCATCCTGACTGAACATGTCTGCTATTCCCAACGCAGAGAGAGGAGCTTTCAAGTCTACCTCTACATCTGCAGAAAACCTGCAAACAAACAGAACCATGCAGTTGTTCATTTCACCAAAAGCCACAGCTACGTGTGTGCATTTGTGTTTAGGACTTACTTTGGAATGAGCAGGCGGACTTTCCTCATGTGCATGAGCTTGGCCCAGCTCTGCACAGTGGCTGTGCTGATGTGTGGAATGACGCTGGACAGAGGCGTGTCCTCAGCGGGGACGGCGATCAGCATGCTGATGGTGTTGCCATGGTAAGGCAGTTCAATCACCCGGTATTTGACCCCCTGGGGAGTGGTGGCCATTCCTAAGAATACAAGAAGGTTTAGAAGTTAGCTTGAAGAGATTACAAACAAACAAACACAGAATACTGGTATATCATACTTAACATAAAGCTTTCTCCAATCGAATACTATCAATTAAAAGGAAGGGAATTAAATTGTCAATAGCAATTCTTTCCCTCTTTACGTCTACATTTATTTAGAGCGCTGGAAAAATTCTCGCAATTAAGATTAGATGGGGTTGAGGGGGGAAAAAATCTGTGGAATCCAGAGATAAGAAAGACCGTAAATGAGACGTAGGAACCGGGAAAAAGATCCAAAATTAACTTAGCGGCACAGACCCAGCAAAGTCACACTGGGGGACTAAAAAGAGAGAATGACGTGGAAGAACAGAGACTCTTTTCACAAGAGGCCAACTTTAAAATACCTCTAAGAGGTAATCAGGGTGTGAGTCACCAAGACATTGAGGGAAATTTTGAACCTTTAGCCTCATTTTTGCTTATTTTTAAAGCTCAAACGGGCATTCATTTGTCAATGAAAAATAACTCGCTAGTGGCCCAGTAGAAGACCGAAGACTGTCTGGCTATTACCACAGCACAGATTGACTGATTGATCTTTAAACTATTTCGAGAGTTCCAGCAAAGAATCCCTTCAAAAGAAAAGAAAAAAAAAACAACAAAAAAACACACACACCTTCACTTATTTCTAAATCAAGGTTTTTCATTTAATTCCTTTTTACTTCCATTTCATAAATTGATCCTCCTGTCCCAAAACATTGCTCAGTTTTTTTTTTTTTTTTAAATATGTCATTTTTAAATCTGCTGTCTAAGTATTTTCTCTTGTTTGTTGAAGCAGTTGTGATTTTTATCTTGAAAGATGCTATAGAAAGTTTTACTTGTGGAGGACAAATGGTCATAAAGAGGCACAAATCTAAGCAGCATCAAAGATGTTTATTGTTGGAGATAAAGTCGTCATAAAAAATATAAAGGGAACGAAAACAAGTGAGGAAAAAATGTGAATTAATTTAATATACTGAACTCGCAAAATTTCCCAATGTCAGGAACCTTCATCTGTTTCCATTAATTTTGGTTCCGACTCCCGTTCTGGCCAGCTGACTCCTATGACACGATAATACATCCTACATACATCATCATCCTAGCTGCTATAAAAATGGGAGCTCCGAATGTCCAGCAGAGAATTACATCCATCTTCCAGTGTTCTTATAAAAATTGACCTTTTTCAACTTTAAAACCTGCGCTTCAACAAACACCACCACCTAAAATATGCAAGTAGGGAGTTTTCTCACTTCCAGGCTCAGCTAGCTTAAAAGTTCAGAAATTGAAAATAAATCAGTATCTGATTTATTGTGTTCATTTGATAAACTATAGCGGGTCAACACCTTAACCCAGGTGTTAACGCCATTGAAGTTAAACTTCCAGTTTTGCTCTGACTGATTTTCTGATTTCTGCTAAACTCTAGTCCTTTTCTCTCTTTATATACACACACTCACGATTATAGAAAAGGAAGTATATTTCTACTGTAAACAGGGCTAATAAGAGCTTCCAATGATTTATGATGAGAATAACAATTTACATTTTAAATGTTTAATCTTCTTGAGTTAGAAAACCGCCAAGAGCTGGGGAATGCATCCAACATGTGACAATGTTGAGATATTTTTAGTTTGTATTTATAAATGTCAGCATCTCAAGCAACAAAAATTAAGAGGATATATTAACATGGGCTCAAAAGGGCATTAAAAGGTTGCTTATGCCACAAGCTCAGATTTAGGAGTCAAAACTGCAAACTATTTTTTATGAAAT